ATATAAATGCACACTCCCTTCCAGGGCATGGCATGAAACTAAAGATGTCCCGGTCACATCATTCCCCTGCTGTCAGTAGGTATAAATGAAACCTACAGGAAAGTATGTTCTTCACTCCACTATAATGCTGATCCACATAAGGCATCAAAAGCATTGCTGCCACCAGTTCAGTGCCAAAGGTTTAAGTGGTAGATGTAAAAATCCCAATCTTGTTAATTAACCATGTCAGTGTGAATGGGATGCCACATACCACCCTAAGCGCACATCTACACATTGCCCTATGGTGATGAAGCAACACGCTATGTCACTGTATGGCTACGCTATGATGATGTAGCAATCACGTAGGTCTACACATGATAGCCAGCTATGTCACTGTAGCAGCTCACTCCCCGGGTATAGTGCGCCGCTATAGCAACGTAGCGGTGAAAACTACCCATGTGCTGTGCGTGCGGCACAGTAACTGCCCATACTGTGCCATGCTTTACCAAAAGGAAGCACTAAAGCACAGCACCATAGCAACATCGCCATATGGCAACATGTAGACATGCCCTAAAAGAATAATATTAAGGTTGCACAGTCAAGCACTCAAAAGATAGGATATGCCAGAGCTAAGGTTGCCCGTGCAATTCTAATTCACCTCTCTTGTGAGAAAGCAGTTATTACATGATAACAGTATTTTTTTCACATGAACCTTCTTATTAAGCACAAAGGATAATGATTATTGATTGAGCGGCTAGTCAATACTTTGTTTTATTCTCAGTGTTTAATATCTGGTCCTTATAGACTGCATGTTATTTAAATTCTATTCTAGGAAAAATGATTATTTTTCAGATTGGTTTTTCTATGGTGCTCATCCAAAGCTTCATAAACATAAATTAATTAGTTTTCAAACATCACTTTGAAAGGAGGGGTGGTATTGTCCCCATTTTCTAGAATGGAAATGAAACTCCAAAAAAGTAAGGTAAAAAATATCCATTAATTTTGGGTGCTTGACCTGGGCTAATTAAGACATGCTTTTTTTCAGATTACTTAACATTACAATAGCATTTTCTGTAAAGTGAAACATTATCTTCTCTTAACTAGCTTAGTTCTTTCCACTATATTTCAGAGAATAATCTAAATTTCTATTCATTTTAGAATGTTTTGATGTTATGGAAGGTTATGGGTTCGCTATGAAACATCTAGAATATATCTGATGCTAAACTAAATAAGGATTAATGTACACAAGGACAGGAAACTTGGTGAAGGCTGCTAAAAAACCCGATCTACAGAAAGGCCAAAAAACACAACCTTCCAAAACAAAAACACCCCAGCCAAAAAACCCTCAGTTCTCCTCAATACCAAATGGATAAACTCCTTGCTCCATTGAAGTCTATGGGAGTGGAGTTTTGCCATAGATTTAAGTAGTCAGGGTTGCAGTCCCTTATCAACATGTTGCTGGGAAAATTCCTGGCCAATTTCTACTCAGAACTCACATGATACTTCATCATGAAGAATTTGGTTTTAAAATTTTGAATGTTCTTATGTTCATCATTAGAAATGGCTGCTCAATCTGTTTTTCTCCTCATTTGACCTTATTTAAGGAATAGCACCATTCATAATGGATATGTTAGAGCTAGCTGATGGACAAGATATGCACGCACATAATTAATCAGGATTTAACTCTGACACATAAAATCAGTGACTGGACCAAAGGTGATGATATTTAACAATCATACGATAATTTTCATTAACAGGGCTGCATTCCAGAGACATTCTAGAGTCAATGGCAAGAAAGATTTTTAAAGGGACAGTGTATCATTGATGACAGCCTACATATGTGCAATATAAACCATAACAAAGTCAGGAGGGCTTTTACAAGTGAAAACAGAGTACTTTGTTAATTGAAATGGATAACATACATCTATGTTTCTCTTGTCTAAAGAGAGTGTTGCAATCATGGTGGTCATGCAGTTCCCTCCCAGGCTGTCTCTTAGCACCGAAGTCATCATAGAATTCCTGTAGGGAATATGGGATCGATGTTTCTCAGCAAGGGCAATTATCACCTAAAAACAGTAGCAATGCACAAAACTTAAATCTGCACATAACCATTTGCATAGAATAAGAAAAAACTCTACCATACAACCTAAATCTCTGAGCTGCAAAGACTTATATTTGTGCTTACCTTTAAATCTATTGATTTCAAATTAATTATTTACATGCTTAGAAATTAGGCATACATATATGATTTTGCAGGATCAGGGTCAAAGACACCATATAAAAGTGGGTTTTGTCATGCTTTAGCTTTGTTTTGCAATTTCTCAGCAAAAAGGAAATGGACAGATAATAAATTTTCACTAACATACAAGCTCCTGTATATGAAGAATTAAATTAAATTAATAGGGGTATTTCCTCTCATATACTGTTGAAGAAAAATGTAGACATTACATTAAAGGCTTCCTTTACATAAACTAACTTATTTTCAAAAAGACATATTCTCAAGTTGTGTTGTTCTCCTTCAGATGCTTGTTCTTTTACTTTCTATGGAATCTCTTGAAAACTACATGTAAAAATATTTTAAAGCTACACACTGGGCGTGTCTACACATGCAAATAAACTTGACTAAATTTAATGGACATTAAGTTAATGAATATTAAGTCATTTTTGGCAGGTGTTTACATATGCAGAGTCTTAGGACTAAACTTAGTGCACTTGACACTAAACAGTGGTGACACACAGGGGATGCATGGGGGTGCACATGCACCCCCTGAGAGCGCTGGAGCACCCCCTGACAGAGAGCACTCCCCACTTATGCAATGGACAGTGGGGGCACTCGAGAGCGCCGGTACCCCCCAAGACCGCCAGTCAGGGACTGGGGGTGCCAGGACAGGTGCCACTGGCGCTTCCGGGAGCACCACAGGCACTTCTGGGTGCCCCACTTGTGTTTTCTGTTCAGTGCGATCAGCTGCTGAGAGAGGATGTGCCCCTCCAACTCAGGAGGTACCAGCCAGCCATGGCACTAAAAGTTAGTCCCAAGTCCCTTCAGCCCTTCCATGTGTCCCTGTGGCCACTGAGGGCAGCTCCAGCCTCCAGCACTTGGCAGCCATCTTGGAAGCCTGATCTCTAGCCAACAGGAGCAGCATGCTTCAGCTCCCTCCCTGCCCACCCTGCTTCCCCGCACCACAGCTGCCCCTGCCCGTGCCCCACTGCTCCAACCTGGCCCCTACCAGTGATGGCCAGAGCCCTGCACTGCTGCTGGCCATCTTGCTGGTCCTGCTGGCCCCAGCTGGATCCCCCACCACCCATGCCCCAGTAGAGCCATACGACTGCCAGAGGGAGCCAGAGCACCAGCTGCGAGAGGCCCTGCCTGACCCCCTCCTGCACTCCCACTTCAGCCTGCCTGCCCTGCCACCCACACACCCCCTAACCTTTGCCCACCCCCAGCACCACTCTCAGGACATACACATGGGTGAAACAAAAAAAACTTTACTGCCTTCACAACCCCGACCACCATCCCTCATCCCTCAACAAACAGTGCCTTTCCACCACCCTCGCCAGCTACCAACAACAAAAAACCCACTTACAAGAGGCAAACTATATAAATATTGAAAACTATTTACAATATTTTGGCTGTTCAAGCCCAGAGTGGAGGGACATGGAGGGACCCTAGGGGGCAGACCCCTGGGGCAGGTGCTCAGCACCCCAGCCCTTGGATGTTCCCCCATGGGTCTGGGGACCATGACAACCCCAGTGTGTAGTGACTTCATGCAGGGCCAGGTCTTCAGCTGTGTGGTGCAGAGGGGAATGATGGGGCCAGGCCCAGGTGGGTGGCGGCAGATCTAGGGGGGAAGCTGGGCCAGGGAGTCTGGCAGGGAGGAGGTGCCCTAGGATCTCCTCCCAGAGCCAGGCAGGGGCCTGCTGTGGGGCAGCAGGCAGGACCATGGGGACCTGCAGGGCCATGGGCAGGAGCCAGGCAGTGGGGGAGACGTTTGTGGCTGCCAGGGACAGGAGGGTCTCCATGACCTGGCGGTCAGCATCCCCTGCTGATGGAGCTGCTCCAGGTGCTCCTACTCCAGGGATTCCATCCAGGACCAGTGGTCCCACAGCACCTGGTCCCGTGCCTCCACCCAGGCAACATTCTTCATCCACCAGGCCTGCTCCCATTCCTCCCACTCCTCTACTACCACCACCAGCCACTGGAGCAGCAGGGTCCAGTCCCTGGTGTGCTGATGGTGCAGCCAGCATATGTAGAACCGCTCCAGTGGTGGGAGTCAGTAACCCTGAGGCAGCATCTTCACTGGGGATGGTGGCTTCTCCCCCATGTCCAGATATTGGCCCTGCAGAGGCAAGAGGCAGAAGCCTTTTTTGTGAGCATTTGCAACATTTCAGAGATCAGATGCACTCCACCAGGGGACGGCCTCAAATAGGGGGTCGGCTGTGCCATGCTAAGTTGGCTAGGCGGGCCTGGGCCCCAGTAGCTGCTGACTGAGCCCCATGCCCCCCCCTTGCTTCCCTGGGGCAAGCAGCCTGTTAGGTGCTGTCTGCAGGCAGCCTGTCTCCCTGACCCCCTTCCCAGGGTAGGGCAGACCAGGCTGCTGGCAGCACCTGCTGCCACAGCTCCAGACCCCGCTCCCTCCACTCTCTCCCTGCAAGCCACCCACTTTGCTGTGCTGCTGCCCAGCCCCTGGTACCCGTACCTTGGTTTGTGGTGTGCAGGGCTCCTGGATAACTGGGGTGAGGGGCTGGTTGTGCCCCCGTCCTCCCTGCAGGGGGCCTCTCCAAGGAGGTGGCCCCAGACCAGCCCCCACTACACTGCCAGTGCACCCCGAGCATGCCCCTGCTCCATGGGTCCCAGGCAGTGCACGATGAGCTGTTTGTACAGTTGGAGTGGTGCCTGAGTCACTATGCCCTGCTACTGCTGATTCTGCTGGTGCCCCATGCACACCTGTGCTCCTGGTTCTGGACCCTGAGCTACAATGGTGCAGGGGGCAAGCCCGGGCTGCCCTGCAACCTCCACCACTGCCTGGAGGGCTACTTGTTACAGCACTACAAGTCCCTGTCCTCCCCCTCCTCCCTCCTGCTGAGGAGGACATGGCTGTCAGCATCGACGCATTTCTTCGTGTGTGAGAGGCCTATGCCCACCCAGCTGCAGGCCACAGGCTACTCAATAAAGTTCTGAACTGTGTCCTTCCTGTCTGCATGCTGTGGGGGTGGGGGAACTCAGAGCCAGGGGACAGTACATGGATCAGGCAGGGAGCAGGGGCAGAGACAGGGACAGGGTGTGAGACAGTCCTCTCCCACTACTGGACTTACCATGCATGTGGGGCTGGCAAGGCTGATGGCTCAGTGTGGGCCTCCCCATTGGGGACAGCATCTGGCTGTGCCCACTGTCCACAATCTGGAGTATGCGAAGGGCTTGGATCCAGCCAGGGCCCCCCACCACAAGGAGGAGTTGGTGGTGCTGGTGGCTGGAGGTGGCGTGGCCAGCCACTCCTCGTGCTGGGGTCTGGGGGCTGTGCTGAAGGCAAGACAACCACTGGTCTAGGCTCCCTGAGATGTCAGTGGATGCAGCAGCTGAGGAGGAGGATGGGGTGGGGCACTGAAGGTCCAAGGTCTCCTCCTCTGGTGACATGTCACCAGAGGCATCAGGGCAGGGCAGAGGCTTGGCCAGATTACTCCTGCTGGTGGCACTCGGAGTGCAGCCTCTCTCCTGGGGCACCAAAATGTGGGTCATCTGCTGCATAAAGGCCATGGGGTTTGGGGTGAAACCAGACTGACAACTGAAGTCAATCACAGCCATCCACTGTGCCTGCAAGACCTTGATCTTTACGTGGCACCGCTGCAATGACTGAGAGTGCCCTTGCTCCTGTATTCTTCCTGACAGGGCCTTTTAAATATGCATATTTGAGCACCTGCCCCGTGCAAACTGCCTTTGCACATTGGCATGGCCCCAGAGTGCCACGAAGTAATGCACCTCCTCCCGGATCCAGCTGAGGGCCCTGGCAGCTGGCATGGGTGTGCGCATGCCACTGGAGCTGGGGCTCGACTGGGAGGAGCATAGTTGTCCTGTACCAGCTCTGGGCCGCCGTGGGGCTGTCCCTGCATTGCCAGCTCTAGACAGCTGCCAGCAGCACCCAGCGCAGGGGCATAGCCAGAGACTGGAAGCCATGTGGCAGAGGCACTTCACCACAGGACCTGTAAATACAGGGGACAGCTGGAGGTGAACAGGAGCAGGGAACAGGTGCTGGTCCTGCTGGCAGAGACAGACAGGCAGCAGCCATGGGGGATCCCAGTTCTGGGCAAAGGGTGAAGCAAGCTGCAGCCCTTTGTAACACTCATCTGTGGCCAAGCATCAGCTCTGGAGGGGAGCACGCCAGGCAGAGACCTCCTATGGCATGCCCGGGGGGGCATACGGGGCCTGCACAGGATCAGCAGTCTTGTCCAGGATCCTGATGTGTGTACCCCAGGCCACAAAATGGTTTCTCGCTTTCATAGCCTGCAGCTAGAGGCTGCCAAAGTGCAGCCCAGCCCTCAGGGAGGAGAGGCAGCCAGCCAGGAGCCCTGGGGCTGGGCAGACCTGACAATAAAGTTAGTGTCAGGTCACATCTACACGTGTTAATGCGTTTTAACTAATCGTGCCTAGATTTGCAGGTATCAAGTTTAGGCATGATTAGCCTAAGTTCACCATTTTTAATGAGCATTAGCGTGTGCATGTATAGATGAATGCCCTTAATACACATTAAATTAGCCTAACACACATTAATGCATCTCGTGTAGGCACGCCCACTATGTAATATATTGCTGGAAACGTATAAGGCACAGTTCAGTTTAAATACAGATATGCTGGCCAAAAAGGAAATGATACACTTACCATTTTTCATTACATTAAGGGATTTAATTTTAAAATAACAAACAAAGATTACCCATTGGGCTATAGTGGTATAAAGATTTTTACTGGTATCAGTTTGAAAGAGTGCCATTGTCAAAAGTACCAAATGCATTAAAGATTTATGTGAGTTATTCCAAAAGACAAACACTTTATATCACTGAACACCATCGCATATTT